TGATCTGTTGAGCTAACTTTAGATCCAAAGGAAGAACACTTGTAGTCTCAGCCTGCACTTCTTCCTCTTGTCCCACATCCTCAACATCTTCAAAATCAATGTTCTCTTCTTCAATCTCTTCATGATGTACATGACGGTTCTCATTCACATGAGCATTCTCAACCAGAGCTCCATTCCAACAGGCGCTACTCTTCCACGACCTCTACCCCTGCCGCGACCGTGACCTCTGGCTGCAGATTCTTCAACCAGAGCATTGACGGGAGCTACGGGATTGACGTCTTTGAATCTTGTGTTAACCATCTGCGGACAGAAGAGTGAAGGAGGTTAGATACCAATTTAAATCGACAAATACCAATTGGAATCAAGTCATAGCACGAAAGGAGACAAGAGAAAACATAGAGATTTCCTAAAGTCTTGTAGCCTCTCGAAGAAAAGTAAAGGCGTCCCCGTACCGTTCCGCGAGACTCTATTAGACTCGTTTCAGTACATCGAGATCAACGAACCTAGGCTCTGATATCAACTTTGTCACGACCCAGACCATCGTGATTGGCACTCACACTAACTCTCCGGTGGGAGAACCACTACTACAACCCAAACCAAACAACTAAACCAAAACTAAGGCATTTAAGTTATGGAAGCAAGTTAAATACTAAGGAAATAAATAGGGAGTTCCCATAAACTCCAATAAAAGTCTAACAACGAACTAAACAATACGGAAGAAATAACTTAGAACCTGAAAGTCAATGTACCAAAACATTCTAACAATGAACCAAGTCTAAACAAGAAAAGGATACAACCCCAACTAATGAACTAATCAACTAGATAAAATAAATGTCTAAGTCCGGAAATGGTGGACATAGACAAAAGAGAATCCCATGGCAACCCGGAAGAATTGGCTCACCCTTGAATTCGAAGCAACAATCACTGATCTTCTAAGCGAGGTTTATCAATAGCCGTTTGAAGATGCCCTGTACTCAACAAAAATAAGAGCAAGTGCAATATTAGTATACAACCACAGTGTACTGGTAGGATCACGTGGCTATCCCACTAGTGCAACATAAGTAAGTCAAGACAACATTATAATCACATGCATATATATCAACATTTACGAACAACGAACAACTTCACATTATATATCAAATCATTAGTCCTCTCATGGAAACCAAACCCAAATAGTTAACATGTCGAAACGTGGCAACCGATCCCATTTTTATGCCGAAACGTGGTAACCGATCCATTCAACACACCATAATCGCAATCACAAGTATATCATCAAGATCATACATTTAAGTTATGATTTCATGGAAATCATCATTCCTCTATCTCTTCTACAACAAGTGTGATCAACATTGCAACATTCATGCATATACAAGTATCATAATGAAGCAAGAACAAACATACATCACGCATTCATAGAATCACAACCATTACCTACCTCGAAACAATCTTGAAACCCTAAGAAACTTGATCCTTCCCTTTTCGAATTCGTTCCGCTTGTTCTTGGTCTACAAACAATCAATATAATACGGGAATCAATAAACAATCACTAATTACCCGAATTACTAACAAAATTTATGAACCCTAGATCAAACCCATAATCCCAATTATCCAAATTAGGGTTGTTTCCACCATAGAATCTATAACAAAACCCTTCCCCATCAATATTCACCCATTCTATTACGTTCTACGAATCGAAAAATGGATTTGGGGAGTGAAAAGCTTACATTTAGCCTCAAGAATGGTGAAAAACGAGTAGGAGTCGACTGGGTTCATTCCTTAGCTCTAAAAGTCGAAAAATGCATAATGAGGTCGTTTAGGGGTTTATTAACGACTTTAATTCGCATCGAGCCCGTCACAGCGGCCACCACCCCGCCACAACGGCCCCGCAAAAGCAGCAAAAAACGGTGCCAATGCGGTATTCTTGAACTAGAGAGCTAATTCAAGAATTCCAAAATTTCCATTTCACAACACACTCTTAACCCACGACGCTCAGAAAATACCATTTACTTCAAGATCGATTCCGAGAGTTCTACTCACCCGAATTCAACTCCGTAAAGTCGTACGAATTCTTCAACGAGTTATCTAACTACTCATGTAAACAAAAACATAATTATTTCACCCGATTGTTACCAGGTTTCCCTACACCTCAAGGACTCCGATTTCGTACAAATCTGGACAAGGTTGGGAAAATCCAAATACTACGAAAAAGTTTATCGGCCCCAAATTTTCCCCCGTTGGCTTTTCTATAACGACGAAAACATGTCGTTACATGTGATTGCGTCATTGTTTTAATATTTTCTTCCTATTTTATCTTTATTTATTATTTAATAATTCTATTTTATCCTTTACCCTACCTTTTTATAGTAGCTCTACCTCATACCATGGTTTTCTTGTAGGTTTATCATTCAAATTTTGGATGTGTGACACTATGTAACGACAGAGAACAATACAATCTATCCAAACATTGTATTCATTAAAACAAGGCCAAATCCATCGGTGGCCCCCTAAAGTTGGCACCAAATTTCACTTAGACACCTTAACTAGGCGATGTTCATTTTAGACACCTCATGTAGGGTTCTGTTGTGTCATTTTGACAATTTTTGTTGACATGTCAAAGTGAGTGTGATACACTCAACAATAGCGCGTGAAAGACTTAATTTAGCCTCTTTTTTTTTTTTAATTTTCTCTTCTTCTCCATTTTTCAAACCACCACCTCCACCTTTTTTTTAAGTTTACACCTTTTTTTAAGCTTAAACTCCTTCAATGGAGGTTAAATTTTTTATTCAAATTCGTTTTTAAGTCATTTTTTTTCTTCTTCATTGTATTACTTTTCTAAATCTACCATCACCTCCCTTCACTTTTTGCCGGATAAATGAATACCAACACTCATATTTCATATTTATTCTCTCTTTCTTTCTTCCTCTCCCTCTTTTCTTCCCAAAAAACAACACTAAAAAGAAAGAAGAAGAATAAATATGAAAAATAGTAAAAGAAAAGAATTTTTTAAAAAAAAAAGAAGCACAAAAGAGATTTTGAGTGTAATGAAAAAAGAGATTTGTTTTTGTAGAATAATATTTTTATTTTATTTACTAAATAGATTCTAAAATGATTTTTAACTGAAAATAATACATGTAATCATTTAATTGATTGTTTGTCACGTCATCAACGAGTGTATTAGACTCTCCTTCAGTTTTTTGTTTATTGTCAGAAAAGTGTCAAAATAATATAACGGGACCCTACGTAAGGTGTCTAAAATGAACATCGCTTAGTTGAGGTGTCTAAATGAAAATTATTGCCAACTTTAGGGGGCCATCAATGGGTTTGGCCTTAAAACAATATCGTATGATACAATACAACACAACACCATATATACAATACAATAAGATACATTATGAAACAATATGTAACAACCATCCAAACAAAGTGTTAAAGAACCAACAAATAAAATGACAATTTTATCATCACCTTTTGAATATATATAAATTGAACACTTTAGGAGATGATATTATAAATAATAAGAATAAATTAGAAACTAAGTAATAAATTATTATATTCATCAAAACAATACAATATAATACAATACATAATAAAATAATATGTAACGACCCTCCAAACAAGAAGTTAGATTTTTATCGTCCATTTTTTTCTTGCATGTCTTTGAACATTGGTAAGAAAAACTATGTGATTGTCCTGTATGAAAATAACCTTCATGGAGTATTTATTACAAAGACAAATATAGTCACATGTTGCCGAATTTGCTTTAGATGCCTTTCTCAACTAAGGGAAAAATCAACCCTACTTAGAAAAAAAATAATATTATAGAAACTCAGAAATCGAGACATTAAAGGAAGAGGAACCAAGAATTGATGTGAGACCAATTTTAGAAATATTAATAGAGACCTGACTTATTTGTCTTAATTAATTAATACCATAAGAAAGATAATCTTGAAAGGTTTGCCAATCCCTACAAACATCAAATACATTAATTCAAATAAACTAAAAAAAGCATTTGATTTCGTACATGATACAATTGAGTGGCCAATTACACACAAACAACCGAATTCACTGATTCTAAATTTTAAATTTAATACTAACAACCACACCTTATGATTTGATAAAAAAGATAATATTGAAAGGTTTTTCAATTTCCATCGTGGTTTGCAGGCTATTACATAGTGGGAGTTTACCCAATATGCATAAAGTATTCACAACATAGTGCTTACTCGAAGAGCAGATGCAGTGATAGAGATTATAGTGATTGCAGATTATTCCGGGGTTCCCAAAAAATACCTCATAACCAACAATCATTGTGGTAGAGTAGTAAGTACTTCTCCATCCTTAATCAGAGGTCTTGGGTTCGAGTCCTACTGGATACAAAGTCAACTTTGTTAGGGAACACTTTACCCTTCAATGTGGAACTTTCTGGCGCGAATTTGAATTTAACCGGACTCTTATATGAATACCAAACACCAAATGAGATAACAAAAAAAGCAATACCTCATGAATCAATAAGAAATATAATCTTGAAAGGTTTTCCAACCCCCCCCAAACATCAAATACATTAATTCAAATCAACTACAAAAAGATTTATTTTCGTACATGATACAATTGAGTGACCAATTTAGTTATAGACACAACATAAATTACCTATTAACAACAAAATTCATTGATTCTAAATTCTGAATTTGATACTAACAACAACTTCTCTAAGAAAGATAATCTTGAAAGGTTTTCCAATCTCCACAAACATCAAATACATTAATTATATTCAAATCAACTAAAAGCATTTAGTACATATGATACATCAAATACATTAATTCAAATCAACTAAAAGCATTTTGTACATATGATACAACTAAGGGGAGAGATGAATTTAGATATAGTAGATGCAACGCAAAGCATCACTTGTGAAAAGAAATAAAAAATAATTACGTATAAACAACATAATTCACTGATTCAAAATCCTGAATCTGACACTACTAACAACTTCATGAGTGCATAGTTATGAATTGTGTCATCAACAACGTACACATCTCAAATAATTATCAAGAAGAGAACCCGTTAATCCAAAGTTCCAAATCGTTGTGTTGCGTCTCTTCTGAGAAAATTGCAATTTGACTAGAACTTGAAGGAAAATAGCTCCTTTGCCTTTCATTTTTGTTGGAATTATTAATGTCACCAATTTCATGATCACCATTAACAATAGTACTACTAGTAGTAGTACTATTTTCCAAAATTTGGTCACGTAAATCAGGTGCATTAAGAAGCTCAGCTAGAAAAGGATCGTCAACATCGAAACCAAACATGAAATTGAAGTTATAATTCTCCGTTGCGGACAAATTTGTTGGCGAATATGATTCTGATACTGGTTGTTGTTGTTGTGGTACTTGCTCGGACAATGATGAAATTGAGAACGATGATGAAGAAGATGTTAAAATATTAGTTGTCACGTTTTCCTCTGTCATTACCTTGTGATTGTTATCATTTTCAGTAGTCTCATGTGGGTCTACTACTGAATTACTAGTATTAGGACTCATAAAAACTTTAGTGCACCTGATTGCCTTTGTGTGGACAACCAAACACGGGGAGGAGGAGGACAATGATCCCCCGTGTCTAACGTCCGTTAGCAAATATTGTGAATCCCGAGGACTCGCATGTTCTTGATTATTTGGTTGTAGTTGGGCAATTGGGTTTGGTATGGTTGATTTTGCATGACTAGAACGATGGCGTTGACGATTTGAAGATGTTACGCGATTTGGTTGACCAGAACGTGTTCCTTCTTGAAGTCTTCTCCCAATGTTGGTGTTCCAATAGTTCTTGATTTCATTGTCTGTTCGTCCTGGTAGCCTTCCGGCTATCAGAGACCATCTGCACTGATTATCAACATTCGTATATATATATATATTACATCACATCAAATGAAAAATTACAGCGTATTTACATTTTCCTCGTGCTTTTTTCTTCGTAGAATCAACATGATCTATGATTTTGAGTCAGTGAGTGCATAATGTCACACCCAATGAAAAATTTAACAAAGTTACTTTATGCTTGTTCTTTTTTCTTCGTAGAAACAAAAGGATCTAAGATTTTGAGTCAATAGTTCTGACATATTTTTCCTATATACTAAACAAATGACTAAAAAATTGAATCTCGAAAGAATAATGACCTGTTTCCAAGAAGCTTATGTAGTCTGATTATGAGATCTTCTTCATCTGGACTTATATTTCCCCTCTTGATGTCTGGCCTTAGATAATTTAGCCACCTTAGTCTACAACTCTTTCCACATCTTTTAAGACCTGTAAAATAATTATAAAAATCATTTAAGTAAAGAGTAAACGGACAGAATGAGAAGAAATCCCGAAAGAGAGAATCATGAATGAAATAGCGAGATCAAACAAAGCAAAATTAAAAGTCATAAAGCTGGTTGACAATAATAATGTACGACTTTTTGCGAAAAGATAGGTTAAGAATATAACTATTTTAATTATCCTAAATATTCAGGAGAAAATTTAGAATCTTTATAGTGGATTATCAGACAAATCAACAACAAAGGGTGCATGAGATACACAGACAAGAGAGCCGATTTGACCGCGCAGACCAAATGAGCGGTTAATAATTTTCACATACATGAATTATACATAAATATACAAGAAGCAAATAATACTAACTTAAGCTTACCAGCTCCTTTGGGAAGATTTCTCCATTTTCCTTCACCATGAACTTTGATATAATCTATTAAAATTTTATCCTCCAAAGGAGTCCATGCCCCTTTGTTTAATCCTTCTTTAGAACAACAAGGCTTTCTACCCATGATTTCTATATAAATTATAATAATAATAATATATTATATTCTATGGTCTTTTGTGATTTTGTGATCTTTAGGACTTGGCAATTGTCAAGTTTTCAATATGCATATACTTATAGTATGACAATTTAATATCCACACCCCCACCCCCTTGCTAGGGGGAGGGGTAGGTAAAAATTGGAAGAAGTTGTCCCCCAAAATATCATTATCTTATATTAAATGATAAAACACATATACACAAGTTTGCTAATATTTCTGCAGTTTACTTGTACGATTGGGACCATGTCTTTCTATCATATAATTCCTTTTTTTATGAAAGTTACTTACATCTTTTGCCTTCTTCTTTGTAAGAAAGGTAAAAATTAATTTTACCGCTAGTTCCACAGGTGGGGTCTGGAGAGATCGGAAGAGTGACGTGAGGTTGTTTTCCATAAATTCTTGACTCGAGAAAATTATTTTTAATTTTCAAAATAAGTTTGAAAGAAGTGCAAGAGTAAGAAGCTATATGATGAAAATATTGACGAAATAAAATTACTTAACATTAAAATAGTAGAGATAATCAAAATAAAAGAAACGCCAGTATTAATAAAATCAATGAATAAGATAAAAGTTAATAGATTATAAGGTGCTCTAGACTAGATTCTTACTCACCTCTACACCTGGACAGGGAGAAAACGCTCGACTATTCACTAATTGACTATCCTAATTATCCATACTCTCCTATTTAGGGTCATGTCTTCGATAAGTTGAAAATGTGTGATGATATTCAATCAACTAAATCTCAATCTTAAACTAGATGGAATTTCAGTTATTACGAATGCAAACATGATAACAAAATGGATATTAGGTCTAGTAGCGACACTGAAGATTTTTCAAGACCATTTTAAAAAAAAGAACACCCAAGTTCCAACCGATATGGGATTTAACAAAAATGTCCAAGTGGGGCTTACACTTCACCATATATACTATCACCCCCAAGTCACCCCAGATGATTTTGCTATGCCCCGCCTCGAAACTCGTAATGATACATACTATTACGTTTTTATTTATTACATAAAATCCGTAACGAGACCTATACGTACGTCTCATTGATTATTTATTATCCAGAAAATGCAATATTATCTGTCCAATATTGTTTGACAATCTGGCAAGTTTGTTGAAGATAGTGACTGAAAACCTACAATTAATTTAATGATCACATAAACTTTAATACACACTAATCTAATTTTACGTAATTAGCTAGATCCCACCAGTGCTCTTAACTGTCTAATTAATGATAAAAAATTGTAGCATTATATTGTGTTACATAACTGCATAGTATTTCTTTTTTAAAAGTCATATTACACCTGGAAGAAATTAAACTTAAAAGAGAAATAGGGGTATTATATTACTTTTGGGAGAATTTTTTAAATTTGACTTTTATACCGTCTTGGTGTGAGAAAAGAAATTTCAGTTATCATTATTTTTCCTTGATGTTACGTATACTCTCTCCGTCCAAAAATATTTATCATGTTTCAGTACTTTTCGAGTTTAACTAATTTTTGAAGTTAGATTGAAATAGATAAATTTAGTATTTTAAATTTAATTATTAAAAATCTACATGAAAAATGTGATAAAATGCAAAGTTTTTCATATCCAATGCATGAAAAAACACATTTTAAAACATTGATTAAAGTTTATATATTATTTGACTCTCGAAATAAGAAACGTAACATAATTTGGGACGGACGGAAGGAGTAATTCTCAGGCAACAGAAAATATGGTAGGAGAAATCAATGTTACTAGAAAATTTTGACAAATGAAAGAAATCGTAAAAGGAAAAATAATTGAACAACTAAAAAAAAAAAGCACTAGGGATGAATAGGAGCGGAGCTAGAAGCTCAGATATAAGTTCGATCGAGCACAATATAGTTTTTACTTCAATAATTTTTTGTGTTAAAAAAATTACTAAATATTTACAAATATTAAGTTTAGAATTCAATTATTGTCATTTAAGAATTTCAGAACCCATAATATTGAAATTTTGTCTCCATTTTTGAGTATATAACATTTTTTTTTGTTTAGCCATCTGATATCTGAAGTCTACTTCGTTAACTAATTTTGATTTGTGCTAAGTATGCATACTAAAAGGATAACCTGTTTTTATCAAGAAATTCTTTATTTTTAGGATTCAAATTTGATATTTCGAATTTCAACCATCTCATTACATTCCTAATTAACAAAAATGATACATAATAAGTCGTTATTTGTAATTGTTGTATATATTCGAAATCCACTTAGAGCTGAGATAATATATTTCAGATAATCATCAATTTACAATAGTTCATTTAGGAAGTCACTCAACTTAATTACAGTAGTTCATTTAAAGATTAAAGTCACTCAACTAAATTATGGTAGTTCACTTAAAAAGTCACTCAACTTAGGGTAGTTCACTTAGAAATTCACTCAATTTAAGATACTTCACTTAGAAAGTCACTCAACTTTGTTTTATATCTAAAAAATTACTCAACTATAGATATCTTACTTAGAAAGTCACCGAACTGTTCTTTTCTCGTTGAAGCGTATCCTACACCATATCTGAAAAATTCTATCATTTGACTACTCACTATTTAAATAAGATATACATAAAAAAAACTTTTATTCACGTAGCAATTTAAAATATTTCAATAAAAGTCAAAACAAATAAATAGAATATTACAAAAAATAAAATAGAAAAAAAACAGAAACGGGTATCATATTATTTCATAAGATTTTAGCTTGAGACAAAATTTTCATTCAACAAATTAAATTTAATGAAATATGGTTAGGTGACTTATAAGTGAGATATCAATAGTTAAACGATTTTTGAATTATAGATCAAAGTTGACTGACTTTCTAAGTGAATTATCCTAAATTGAGTGACTTTTAAATTATAAAATAAAATTAAATGACTTTCTTAATGAATATCATAAGTTGAATGACCATCTGAGATATTGTCTCACAATGAACTAAATTTACAATAAGACCATACCCCTTTTTTTAAAATATATATAACCATACGATGTTGAGGCATATTTATGGGTATCCTGGCTATTTTATTGGGTACCTGTTAAATATTCAAATTATTTGAAATATTTTTTTTAAAAAAGTACTTTCCATTAAAATGAAAAAATAAATAAAAATATTTTCTCTCATTGTCAGAACTTTTTTCTAAATGTAATTAGAATGACGGTCTACAAATGTGCATAAAACACATTATAAACAAATTAAAAATTTCAAAGATTTACAGATCAATCTAGAATATTATGCCACATAACATAATATGCAATATATTATACAAAATTGTAATCGGGAAAAACACTCTACATAATGTGCTAATCTTGTATAATAGTATATAATTAAAAGTGCCCGCCTTTGCACACAATATGGACTAAACCGGTTATAATTAGGGTGAATGTTCGATATTCGATTCAGAATTTTTTAATTTTGGGTTCGCTAATTAAGTAAGTAGTTAAAAATAGATACTAAATATCGAATTTTTAAATTTTGAATTGGTAATTTGATAATAGGTAAATCAAATTTATCAAAACCTACTTGTTAAGTACTCTTGAAATACTAATGACATTTTGTTAGAGATTCATAATTTTTTGAGTAATCTTGGATGAGAGTCAATTTTTGGTTTGGATCATCAAAAGGATTGGGGTTGGGGTTGTTAATTCTCCTCTTTCTAATTTGTAAAAATAATGTACTCCCTCGGTCTCTAATTACTTGTTCACCTTTCCTTTTTTAATTGTCTCTAATTACTTGTCCATTTTGATAAATTAAGAAATGACAATTCTTTTTACCTATTATACCCTCAATTAATTACTTTGAAAAATATAGAACTTCTTGAAAATTCTAAGTTTTTAATTCATCTACTTCATAATTAATAGGGGTAAAATGGACAACTCACTATGTCAATAATTATTTTCTTGATAGGTGTGTCAATTCAAAAGTAGACAAGTAATTAGGGACATAAGGAGTAAAATATAACTCTTCTTTTTGTTGTTCATTTCCTATTTGGTGGCGGTATCCATATTAGTGTTTTGCAACATGATTTTCTTCATATTTAAGGTTCGAACCCAAGACTTTCAGTTAAGGATAGATCAGTACCTTTACTACACCACAACCCATGTTTGTAATAAAATATAACTCTAAAACCCTCTTGTCTTGTATTAAAAACACAAAATATATTTATTAGAAAACATACATTTTAAATCGAAAGTAATAACCAAACTATTAAAGTAAGACATTTAAATTCAATTTTACATAATTTAAAAATATTTTTGACCATTTTTCTGATATTTTTTTAAAAAAAATGTTAAACTAAAGTGGGTACTGATTATGGCATACAAAGAGAAAAGTGGTTAAGTGGTTAAGTTTATTTATATGTTTGGCAAATTGAGAAGTGTTAATAAGTCAAAAACAATAATGTAGTCATACCTACTTCTAATTTTTCTACTTAAAAAAACTTTTAGTTTGACCAAATGTTTTATTCTTTAATTCTCTCTTTTTTTTAAAAAATAAAATAAAAATTCAAACTTTCCTTGCAAAAACTAAACTCCTAAATTCTTATTCACACCGTATTAGTCATTCCTCCTTTTCTTACACAAATACCTTTAAATTATAATATTTTTTTCACAATTTGTTTTTAATAATATTATAGTTATGAAATACTCTTTCCAATCACTTTTATTTTTCATTGTTTGATTTGACACACTCATTAAGAAAATAATTATTGTTATAGATGTTTTACCATGTTGTCTTTACTAATTAATGTTTAGTATTGAGTCTTGAAAAATGATGTGGAAAATAATACTCCTTCCGTTTCAAAATAATTGAATTGTTGAGACATTTTTCATATTTCAAATTAACTTAATTGTTCAATTTTCAAGACTACTTTTAGAACATTCTTCCATTTTTACCCTTCATTTGAATTTTCTATGTGATGACTTCAAGAAACTTTAATTGCTTTGAATTATTTTAAAGATTAATTTAACAATAATTAATAAAGGTAAAAATGGAAAGTAATGTCTAATTTATGTCATAATCTTCTTTTCTTAAAGGGTGTGAAACATCCCCAATAATTCAATTATTTTGAAATTGAGGGAGTATTTAATACTAAAAGTAAAATATGAAAAAAATAATTGTCTTTTTTTGATCTGTCAAAAATAACAAGTAAAAATAAAAACCTCTTTTAAGAATAAGTGATAAGTAAAAATAAATGGATGAAGTACATTAAAAATAAATTAATTTTACTAATATTAATTTTTTAACCAAACACATCAATTCGTAAGTACTCCCTCTGTCCCTATTCACTTATCCATTTTGGACTTGACACATCTATTAAGAAAATAATAATTGACATAGTGAGTTTAACATTTAATTCCTATTAATTGATAGAATTTCAAAATAAATTTACTCATTAAAGATGCTCTACCATTTTCAAAAATATTAACTCTCTAGATAAATTGATGATATAACATGTAAAAAGATATTGTCTTTTCTTTATTTGTCAAAGATTGACAAGTAAAAATGAACCAATAAAAAAATCAAAATTGAACAAGTGAAAAAGGACAAAAAAGTATTTTTTTTACCTCTAATATGGGATATATTTTTTTTTGTACGAATCCTTATTTTGTCGGACTCTAGTGTAGATAGCGGATATCAAAATTTTTTTTTAAAAAAAGAAGTAATATTTATTTATCCATTTTTTCCTCATATGAAATACCTGTATTTAAGTAAACGATTGAGACAATCGGAAGTCTTTCATCGTCCGGTCATAATTTGGGATTTCTCATATGTTCCACAATTTTAAGGTAATCCTCTCCTCCTTAAACTTTTCTTAACAAAAATGTTTCTGAGGTTTTTACAGAGTTTATTTATTCTATAATTCTTTGATTTCTGCCTTTACTACATGGGTAAAATCCAAATTTTGAAGTATATGGTTATCTTGTTGTTTACATAAGTATTGAATTAGGTTTTTCTTGTAGGAATTTTGGTTAAGGTTTTGTTCCATTCCATTGCCTTAATGTTTTCAATTGTTTGATGTTCAAATTCTTTCTATACATAAAAATTGGATTTTTAGCCCTAGATTGAGTTTTTTTGTTTGTTTGGATAACTTAGGTGTTTGGACCAACTTGTGTGCACTTCAATTGTAGTTTCACGGAATACATGTCACCTTGCACTAATATGGTTACTATGTATACCAAGGTTAGGACAGATGAGAAGAAATCATTTAGTGTTATAGAGTTTCTTTAGAGAAGGATTGTGATAAATTGATAGTCTAGATGAGATTTTTGTAGTTTCTTGCCCCCTTTGATTTATGTTAATACTATTTGTTGTTTTTTATATTTCAATTATTGTCTTATATCTTGTTGTAGTTAGTGTTTATAGAATGTTTCGTTGTGTTTACCCTAGGATTTTGCCATGACTTCTTGGAAATAGCCTTTTCTACCTCCAAGGTAGGGGTAAGGTCGGGGTGCACTCTATCCTCCTCAAACCCCACTTTGTGGGATTACATTGAGTATGTTGTTGTTGTATGGATCTTTAAATATTGAATTTCTTGGAATTTATCCACATAATCGCGCACACTATATTCAATAGTGTTGGACATGTGATGGACCTAATTACCCAAACTAATTTGGTATTGAAGCTTGCTAGATTGGTAACTATAATATCCTTATGACACAAAAATGAGATAATGGTCGTAAACAATTTTGAACTATCACTTTTTCTCGGAGTTCCACTCCCCGATTATCATTTGTTCCCTTGTTCTGCCTGAACTATTATCATCTATGTATTAGAACATACCTAGGTGAATAGATGGTGATAGTTCAGGTAGGAAAAGGGAGCGACTAATGGTTGAGTTGTGAAATTCTCGAAATATTTCGATAGTTCATGTGTGTTTTTTACCATTAACTACACAAAAATTCAAAGGTTTTTTAGTTTAATTTTATGAAACTTGTGCCTTCTTGCTTATGATTTTAACGACTAGTTGATCTAAGGTAACTTTATGTTCTATATGCAGTATTTGATAGCCGTTTCTGATTTTATTCAGTGGTAACTGAGATGGAAGATGTTGTATTCTCGTGTACTGGTAATGGAATTCAAGTTGACCGCAAAGTTGTTCAGACATTGCAAAAGAATTTTGTGCAAGTGCAGAACATTTTGGATCAAAACAGGTTGTTAATCAACGAGATCAACCAGAACCACGAGTCAACAATCCCAGATAACTTGACTCGAAATGTTGGTCTAATTAGAGAGCTAAATAACAATATTAGAAGAGTAGTTGATCTCTATGCTGATCTCTCCAGTTCTGTTACCACATCTATGGAGGCTTTCTCCGAGGGTGAATCAAACAATGCTAATCAATCAGATCAAAGAGACGGTCAGAAGAGAATTAGGTCCAGCTGAATTGACCGGATTGGAGTTCAACTTTCTCCGTTGATTGTTTCTAAGTAAATCAGCTCTGTTTAAATTGGGTTGAGTAGAACGGGATGGATATATACCGAGGCTATAAGCTATAACATTTTGAAAATAAATCCATCTGGTCATGTGTTCCTTTGTTATGATGTTTCTATCTGCTTCTGCAATTGGACTCAAATTCATGATTAGCATGTTGTAATCTTCTCCTTGTGTGTTTGTTACATCAGAGCTACTTGTTCTGTCTTTAGATGTTTGAGTGGGCGCGAAGAAACTAGACATAGAGCCCCACTCATAGTTTCTCGTTTGAGTTATCCTTCCCAGTTTTACTTGAAATAGAAGAGCGTATATACTTTTGTCCTTTGTTCTCGTCTTTGGAACTCCTCGTTGTATCATGAATTTATTTCTCTGTTATTTTCAAAATGCTGGTGTCTGGACTCGTTGAAACGTCGAGGGGGTGCTAGTATAACACTTGTTGCCATGCCTTTTCTGGAATCACATTAAAAACTGCATTCCTGTATTCTGCATTTCACCATCAGACACTGCCTTTTCTTCTTTTAAAGTTGTTTACAAACTAGTCAAGATGCTTTTCTTTTAGCACAATTACATACAGAAGAAAATAAGCAATTTGCATTGTGATTAAAGGTCTTAGCTTTAATTATATCATGGTGAAATTCTCTCACACTGTTGATGCATACACCAGTTATGGATCTAAAGAAATTACACTTGTGATTTATCTATCAAGGTTGCAAACCACTCTTTCCAATCCATGACCTTGTCCTTACCATTGACCACCTGTTATTTGACAGACTTAAACATATTAGCTTTTTGACAGCAACCAAAAGAATAGTGCAAGTGCATTCACAACAAGAAAGCTGATACAACTGCTGGAAAATGTTTCATTATGCTCAAGTTCACCTCTATGAGATTTGAAGCAGAAATTAAAAATATTGGTTACTTCTTTTCGGAATAGACGTGATATAAAAAATGTTTGATTTTTGACCTTGAAAAGTTCCAAATAGGCACCACTGCAGATTGACAAGTTCTTTCTGGGCAACTATAAATCTTAGAAAATTGAAAGCCAATCGAGGAACAAACCTCGAATATCAGTCCTTTCTGTGGCACAGTCTCAAGAGCCTCTACACAGATGAAAGCGGCATCCTCCTTGCTCAGCTTTCCTTGTGATGCACAGCCCTGGCATGAAGATCATAGAACCAGCTAATTTTACAAAACTAACTTTCTTGCAAATGATTTTAAGTGAATGACAAGTAGCAAGCCAAATTGCTTAAAAATATAGGAAACCAATCACCGAAAAACATATTCTGTCATAAATTTCATGTGAGGAATTTCTGATCCAATCTTGATAAAGATTCCACTATTCTATTCTAATTTGCTCTAATGCCAGAACGGAAGACATTTTCAAATCTTAACGCAATGATCGGAATGGTGGTAACTGGAAACTTCGAATATTTAGGAATCATCAACAAAACAATAGCGCTATTAGACCATCATCTGTATATCAAGTCAACGGGTCCGTCATGGGTACATTAGTTTGTGTTTGAACGAAATGTAAAAACTTAAAACTTTAGTGGACAACTACTGTGTTGAGTAGCAACGGTAAGGAATTTGCTCAATATGAACAATGACAAACTGGTACAGTCGTTTTCTATTTGATTTGTGAATAATTTTGATTTATTTTGCACAAAAGGAACATCTTATAGTTCATTTGCGGGTGGTTTCAACCTAGGGAAACATAGTTGTATGACGTTATACTCGTTTGGATACAGCCAACGACATTTCCAAATTGCCAAGTGACAAAAGATCATTAAACAGATGGTGGTTTCGACACCATCTACCTAATAAAGAAGCTACACATATATAAGGATTACCTCTTTAAAGTTGAAACCTTGATTTCCACCCGGTGCATTTACCAACAAGCCAGTTCTGATAATGGTGTAAGGGATTCCCGAAGCCATAACCAGTGATTCATCTTGTTCTGCCTGTTTTCTTGCATTGGCAGTAACAATTGCTTGGACCCCGCTAGAACCTCTATAAACAGACAGCTGCAATGTCATCATATCATAAAATCAAAACATAAACCGTTCAAAAACTGCCATTGCCTATACATGTACGAGAGAGGACTACCTGAGATAATAGGATTACATGTTGTAAACCTTTCCAACTCTCTAAATTTGATATAAAACCTTCCTACAAAATGCAGCTCAAGTGTAAGAGAACTTCTTAACAAATAATTGTGCACATAGAAAAGAAAGTTCCTAAATAAGCTACGGAAAAAATAATTAGCTAACAATAATAATTAGATGCAACAAGATTACACGATAAATCCAAAACAGACGTAGTATAGATTCATACGCAGATGTAATGCTACTCGTTAATGTTTCTTTGTAAGTGTTTTTGTTGGGGATCATAGTAAAAAAATGATACCGGAGAATGATGATAAGAACGAGCATACATTTGGGCATATCACTGCACGAACACCACTTAGAGCCTTCTTTAGCAATGATCTGTCCCTTGCATCACCTGCTATTGGCTTCATAGCAGCTTAGGAACATTAAGTATTAAAATACTACCAAGTGTATGATACTAAAAATGCGTATAAAAATGCCACCAACCTCAACATAAGTACCAAATGCTTCCATTGCAACCCGCTTATCCTTTACCAGAGCTTTGATCCGAGTTCTTTTGATTATCAAAGACAATATAATCATCTGTCCAAGATCATGTATAGGTGAAGTTGACAAAGAATGAGACGGATTAAAGATTGAGCTATATACTGAATCATTGAGGTAGGGCAGTGGGCACTGTTAAGGAAGACTGAGCTATGACTAAATCATTTCAGTTGAAACTTAGATGACGTATGAAAAATTCTACCCCCTGCTTGCACATGCACATATGTAAACAACAAGACATAAAGATTCTAGTGCAAGAGATCCGATGCTACCATATACGAACCTGACCAATCTCATTATCTCCATCGGTAACTAAAACTGCATCCCTGACTTCATCTTCTTCTGTTTGTGAGAAAAAAGGAACACATTGTTGATATGATATTTTAGAGAAGAAATCACATGCAAAATGATTACTAAATTCAGCTACCCGAAGACATATCTTCTTCTGAAAGGGATCCATCTTTTGGGAGGAGCTCGGGTGCCCCATACCATTTCCTTAACTTTGGACCGCCTGAAATCAATGGCATACATGGATGAAAATGTCAATGATTAAGGAGATGTTGTTTGATCAGCATTCTTTGAGAATTGAGATGCGTTAGAATACATCATATCACATAATTTTAGTAGGAAAGATTGACGTAATAAGCATTTACATTTTAGGTGTTAGCCCTTTTCTGTTTCTCTTTTCATTTAATGACGTCTTTTCATCATTTTAGGGCCTAACAAGTTTAAAGATTTTCTCATTGAAATCATGACTGTTTATGATACCAATGATATTTACAACCTCAGAGGCTAGAGCAAAAACCATTAAATGAAACTACGAGTTGCCATCATCAGCCAGTAGAGATACTAAGTAGGCGTTTGGACATGCAATTTCATATATAATGCAGAAACCAGAGAACACAGCATTATAAATCGATATATAATACAAAGGCGCCTTGCCCCAGACGTTTTGCAGTGCACCAAATGTACTGGTGCGCTGAATCCTTAAGGAAATTAAAGAAAGATTAAATTTATACTCCCTCTGTCCCTAATTACTTGTCCACTTTTGAATTGACATACCTATTAAGAAAACAATTATTGACATAGAGAGTTTATCATTTTACCCCTATTAATTATATTCTATTGATTAATTGAGGGTATAATAGGTAAAATTATTTGGTCCTTTCTTGATTTGTCAAAATGGACAAGTAATTAGAGACAACTATAAAAGGAAAAATGGACAAGTAATTAGGGACAGAGGGAGTACTTAATATGGAAAATGAGAGTTATATAAATCCTAAATTGGAAGAATTTTACACTAAAACATGTCAATCAAAGTTCAAACCAGAGAATTTCCTGTTTGTCATTCATATTTCTCACGGAAAACATAGAGCTATTGCAGCTAGAGGCAGATCCAGGATTTAAAAGGACTAGGTTCACCTCGTCATAAATCTCTTTAGATTTATTATATGCTGGACCATAGAGGCATATGCAATCATCTTGAATTTCTACCTAACTATCTCCAGTTTAACGTAAACTGTTCCTATGTTATCTATCAGCATTACTATAGCATTTGGCAGAAGAATCAATTAAATTCTGCCTTAGCCCTCCTTGGCTCTTAATAAAACAAGGGAAAAGGGTCTGATATACGCTTCAACTTACTTTGTCATTTTGAGCTCATATATTCTTGTTACAAATATAGCACACATATACCCTTACCATTATAAAAATGGCTTACATATACCCCTACCGTTACAAAAGTCGCTCATAAATACCTTCTTCTAACGTTAGCAATATATATGAGCTACTTTTATTCAATCCCAAACAAGTTGGGGTCAACTATATGAATATTGATGACTATCCATGTATCCTCATTTAAATTGCAACATTCAGATACCCAATTAACTACTGAACAACAACTACTTCTGATTGAAAATTGAGTGGTAGCTCAAGCTCTACTTCCCGCAATGTTAATTGTCAAAGCATACAAAATTAAAAGTTTCAGTATCAAATTTCCCCAATTTTGTCAAAGCACAAATTAAATTGCTCTCTGAAATGAATCATTCAAAATGAATATCTAAAGGATAATACTCAATTAACAATAAATTGAAGTAAAGAAGTGAAATCAAACCTTCAATGTAATCTAGAATTTGGTCCATAAAACCTATTTTCTTCTGAGAAGAAAAACAAGTGAGAGAACGCTTATTACTCTTCCAATTCCAATTTCTGCACCACAATTGTGGACATGGAGAGAAGCACAAGAATTTTGAAGGTTGATTCACACAAACAGATAAACTCCCCATGGACTCCACAAACGGTTGGTTTCTGTTATGTCAAGCATAAATTACTACAAGTGATTTTATGACAAGAAGATAGTAGCGTAGTTTTATAAGTGAGGTATGAAAAGTGTGTTTGCCGTAAATTTGATATAAAATTTATTTTAGTTAACTTAAATTTTATAATTGTGTTAAATCTATTCAGAACTCAATAAACAAAAAAATTATGAACATATACACTAAAATTTTTGGCTCGTCTTTGTTAATAGATAGTTACATCAACAATATATTATTAATAGCCGCTCATTAACACATATATTTTTTTTTATCTATATACATTATTGCATGAATATATATTGTGAAAAAATTAACTATAATGAAATAATATTATAGTCAAATATTGGAAAAAACCAAATAGTAACAAAATTGAAGAATAAGAAATCAAAGTGTAATTATCTAAATATTAGTGTACAAAATTAAAATTTAAACTTAGGTCCTCTAAGTTTGAAGAACTTTTCATTTTGATCCCACCTTATTTGCACCACCCTTGTTTCTCCATTCTTCTAGTCGAGACTCGAGTGCATACACTATCTTCTACTTACACACGAGCCGCCGCATATAGTCGCCGGTACGGTCGCCGGTATTTACAATATCTTCTCGTCGTTCAGGTATACGCCGATATCTACGATTAAAATTAGCTCTTGTAATGTTTTAACCTTGCAAATGATTCGAATCCTAAATTAGCTCGTAATTCTCTGATTGACGCTTTGATTTTTCACATTAACAACAGTGTCGAATGCATGATATGCTGCATTCTGAATATTGCTCCTTAATTGAAAAATCATTAGTTCTATTTGATTATCAGAATTTTACTCTGAATGGATTTGTGTGTGATTAGTTTCAACTATGATTTATCGTAGTTGTTTTGATGTTTACAAGTTAATTTCCAGAGTTTGTTTCGTATGTGATAACAGAGGATCATATGATTCATATGGATCACAATTGGTTTGTGATTGAGCAAATAGACTATCTATTGGTTGATTGGTAGTGAAAAGATTCAACTTGGATTCATCATATTACTTGTGATTTTTGCAAGGAATAGAGGATTGATATAGTTGATCCCGACTATTTTGGGATTGACGTGTAGACTCTTGATTGATTGATTTGTTTGTCATGTGATAATGGCTTACAAAGTTGTTATAGTATAGTATCTACCTTTAGTATTACAGACCAATTTGCTGAATATTTCTCTGGGAGAAGAAATTATAATAGAAGGGCCACAAGTCCAAGCATGTGAAGTTGATTGCATCAGCTATTAAATTTTCATCATCCAATACTTGTTAAATAGAAGGTCCATGTGAATTATTTAAACTTACAGTATAGCATGGTATCTTTTTTTTTTTTTTTTTTTTGATGAAGGCAATATAGCTCGGTATCTTTGACTCTAGCTGGTAGCTGCTCCCTCCTTTTTGCTTATGTGTCTTTTGAGGGCAAACATGATTTTCATTTATTTTTTCTGGTTGATTCTTTTGTGAGTATCTCATTGTTAATGATACAGTTTCTTGACTATAGCTTATCTTTCTTTGTTTCTCATTGCAGGAAAACTAAGGAACCATGGGGATCGTAGAAAGGATTAAAGAAATAGAAGCTGAGATGGCTCGTACACAAAAGAATAAAGCAACTGGTAACTGTTTACTAAAGCCTTTTTGACAGTTGTGTTTCCACCATCATTATTTGAAGTGCCATTCACGTTACTATTAAGCATAACCTTGTCAACAGATACATTACCTTTTCTTTTTCTCCTGAGTCCTCCTGGAACCTTGTTAAAGCGATCTGCTGCCTGGAGGAGCAACTCTTGTTACTGTCTTTAAATTAATAGAAAGAGAGAAATATGTGTGGAATACTGGTGTTTGTACTTGGTCAGTAATGGCTTCTACAACTTTTTATTATTATTTGATGACTGTGCTTTCTTTCATGCCTCATATCATATGCCAAGTAAATGTTATCTTTGCGGTCTATGGACTTCTCCCCCCCCTCCCAAATGCATGTCAGCGCATCATAATTAACTCAATCATTACATACATACTTCTACAGTAAACCTAACTCAAATTTAATAATTTATAGTGACACCCCAAAAAGCATTAAAATGAACTTATTTTGACTATTAGGACAGGCACGAGAACTCAAAATATTATCGGAAGCTCTTACAAAGGATTTGAGCTCTGCTGGAAATGCTTATGGTTGAACCACAACCACCATAATGTGTGACCATGATGAACTATTTTAGTTAATTTAATCTATCTTCTCTAAACAGTAATCATGCAGATGAATCGACATAAACCCTCAGGAGTCTCTAAAGGATCTGGTTGGCAAAGCTAGAGCTAAAACTTAGAGTTTCTTAGTCAACCAAAGGGGACTAACCTCTTGTGGGAGCACTATTGGATAGTTGAAATTCAAAAGCACTTGTGCTAGAAGTATGAACTTTACATGGATCTTGCAAGAATAAGAATATCCCTTATGGTTTGGCATGGGATGATATTAATTTGACAGCAATTATTTTAGAGCTTCGTATTCGCTCGTGATGATTCATTCCTCTGCCCTTAATTCCTCTGTACATGTATTTTGTGTTATGAGGTGCAGGCTTACTCCATGTATCCTCTCACATACAAATGAACGTGGTAAATTTTATTTATATCTTGTATCTGTGATGAATAAACCTGTCTGTATGTCAACCTTTTCCCCAAATTTCCTCAGAAGCTTAGTGATGTACTGTACCTTGGATGTGCAGAGTATCATCTTGGTCAGCTGAAGGCTAAGATAGCAAAGCTGAGGACACAACTGCTGGAGCCCCCTAAAGTATGTAATTTTTGTGTTTTGGACTGTTAATTGGTGCAGTGAATTCTCCATGAACTTAAGTTTCCTCTAGATTTCATGATATATAAGTTCACGTTCACTTGAAACCGGCTTTCTCCTATCTGTCTTTTTTTCTTCTTTTGATAGAGAGATAATAATAACCTTCTGATTATGCTGATGCAACAGGGTTCCAGTGGAGCTGGAGAGGGGTTTGAAGTCACAAAGTATGGCCATGGACGTGTTGCACTAATAGGATTTCCAAGGTTTGACATCTCCTCTCTTGGTTTTAGATGTCATTAATTTCATCAGAAGTGAAAAAAAGATATAAGTCTGTACGGGTTAATTTTTTACAAAGTAGAATATTTTTGAAGCATTGTGTGCTAGATATGGAATTTAATCACTTTTTGGCTTTTGCTGATCTTCTACATCATCTGATTTCTACCCTAAAAACAACAACAACAACATACCCAGTGAAATCCCACAATTGGGGTTTGGGGAGTGTTATAGAATATAATAGGTGTAAATATTATATCTTCCATATATAGCTAATTTAATTATAGGAGCAGATTCTTAGTTGATTTACTTTGATTAGTTTTCCTTTCATAGAAGCATAGTATTTGTATAAGTATCTTGTCTTGATGAATAGAAAGGAACAAGTCATTCTCCATATAATATAAGTTACATGGTATCAGAGCAACTATCTAAGCTGGGATTTGGCTTTGCCGGAAGTCACTGTGACTTCGCCGGAAGCTACTGTGGCTTCGGGGAAGTAGTTGAGAGCTCTATCTTTCACCTTTGAATCTGGACACCATTTCTGTGTTAGAGAAATTGATTGTCTAAGTGTACTGAATCCATTTTGTGGCATCTGGGTTCGGATTGAAACTCTAAAATCTGAAGCTTGATTGTCTGCCTTTCTCGAGTGAAGCTGGTGCTTCAAAATTCTGGAAATTCAAGAAGGGTGCTAAGAATATTTGTGGGAGATCTGTTTGTGAACTCAAATCTGAAGCTTGAGTCATTCTGGAGCTGTTTCGATAAGGTTATTTAGTCGAAACTCGAAACTTTCAAACGCAGTATCAAAGAAGACGACCTGTCCATCCTTCTAATTTTTGGGTTGCTGTCCAGAAAATCTGTTGGCTTCTCAGACATTGTTGTTTTTTCCGGTCAACATCCCCTTCGTTTCTGATTATTCGGCCAGATTGGTCTTGGAGCGGTCAGATCTGGTTAGTCATTTTATTTTGGTGATTGTATTGTCTTTTCTTTGGGATTATAGTCTGTTTGGGACTTGTTGGTTTGTCCACCAATTCATTTTGGTACCGTGAGCGTTTTGTTGGGAATATGACTGACTGTAATCAGGGAACTCAAAGTTTTGATAAAATGATTTTGATTTCCTCAAAGGAGTTTGCTGAATTCTCTCGATATCAGAAATTATTGAAGGAATCCACCTCAGTTAATGCCTTTACTAAATCAGATAAAACATGTCTAATCACCTCTTCAAATAAATGGGTGATTGATTCAAGTGCCTCAAATCACATGACTGGTAATTCTAACATTTTTACTAGTTTTCAGTCACACAAAGCTCCCTCTCCGGTTACTGTAGCTGATGGATCAACTTGTAACAGTGATGGATATGGGACTGTTAAACCAACCTCCACTATTACCTTGTCATCAGTATTAAGTCTACCAAAGTTGGCCTTCAATTTGATTTCTGTTAGCAAAGTTACCAGAGACCTTAATTGTTATATTTCGTTCTTTCCGGATCATTGTTTGTTTCGTGATCTTAAGACGAATCAGGTTATTGGTAAAGGACATCTATCTGACGATCTCTATATTTTGGATGAATGGGGGCCTCAGTTTGTTGCCTGCTCTAGTGTTGTGTCTCCAATTGAAGCACATTGTCGATTGGGACATCCATCTCTACCTTTGCTAAAGAAGCTTTGTCCGCAATTCCAAAATATTTCTTCATTAGAATGTGAGTCATGTCGATTTGCAAAACATCATCGCAGCTCATTAAGTCCAAGGGTTAATAAGCGGGCTGAGTCAGCTTTTGAGTTGGTTCATTCTGATGTTTGGGGACCATGCCTTGTCATTTCCAAAACTGGGCATAAGTATTTTATTACTTTTGTGGATGATTTTTCTCGTATGACTTGGATTTATTTCATGAAGAGTCGCTCAGAAGTGTTTACTCACTTTTGT